GTCTGGTGTGCTCCTAGAACAGTAAGGAGGTAGCATGGGATACGGAGGAGAAACAGGACCCAGGTCATGATGGCCTTGTCAAGCACAGGGTGAACATGAGGGTGTAGTCCAGGCTGTCTGGCAGGATGAGCTCTCCCATTATTCAAAGGCTCCCACAGCTCCTCAGAACCTGGCTTGATGCTCCAGTCCAAACCCACCTTTTCTCTATACTTCAGCTACAGGGCCCTTGCACGTGGCATCTGGAATCCTTTTGTTTCTACCCTTCATCACAGTTAGCTCCTACCTAACCATAGCTTCACATCTTAGCTCAGATATCTCAGGCTTCCCCATTCCAGCCCTAGGAACAAGCAGTTGGTCCATCCTTCTAGCACAGAAACAAATCCTCAGGCCTATCTGGCCTGCCTCTTCTCAGGGTTCTCCTGTAACCCGTTCCCTACCTACTCCTGCTCACTTGCCTCTTACAGCCTCCTCTCTATCCCACACCCCTCTCTGAGGTCCACCAAAAGACAGGGCAATCATTACACACATAACACCCAAAACACAGCCCCAAATCCTGCGATCAAGAAATGTTTGCACAGCGACTAAATGATCCCCATGGTACATATGAATGTATCTGAGTTCTCTGGGGACCTGGGATTCCAGGTGGATGGAGAGGTGCAGGGCAGGGGCCACAGCGCCAGTTTGTACCCATCTTGGAGATGCACTGGTCAAGGCCATGGTCACCCATCTAGCTCCCGTCTGCTTGGTCCCCGCTCGGCTCCTAGCACTCGTGGGCCCTCACAGATGCTTTTCTTACAAGTATCCTACCGGTTCTATTTTTTAAGAGTGGCCCCAATTTAAAGGACACAAGGATGGTTTGTTCAAAAGCATTTGAAGAGTTTCTGAAGGGAGACTAAAACCAATAAATGAGCGGCTGTTTGTCATACAACTCTGGGAAAACTGAGGGAATTGTGGCCAGGTTAGGGAGGCACCAGGCAAAACAAGAAAACCCAAGCAAACAGCAACTGGTTGGAAAACAAAGGAAGGAAACGCAAAGGAGATATGCCATGTGAGACAGCCTTTGTAGAGCTGTGACCAAAACATTGTATAATCACAATGAAAAATTGGGGCACACCAAGTTAGAGAAGCACGCAAATAAAAGCCAACTTCCTTGGTATTAATCTAAAGGAAGTTTGAACGCCTGCCAGGCTCGTGCATCATGCTAAGCACATGAATGCAAGTCTTCCCAGCAGCTCAGCCACCTGAAAGATCAGGACTGCTTACAAATGAGAAAACTGACCCCATGGCCAGTGAGGGGAAGGGTTGAGATATGCCAGGCCAGCAGGCTGCTGCCCTCACTATAAAGGCACCAGATGGCAAAACCAATCGATATTTGCCCCAAATCAACCAGCAGCAAAGGAGGACAGCTCCTTAGTAATACAAAGGCAGGTATCAGAGAAAAAAAAAATTACTGAAAGAACTGAAGTGGTTGCTCGGGAGGATCCAGGCTGGGAGGGGAAGGATGCTTTCATGGTGGTTGTTTAACCCATACATAAGCAGAGAGGAGTCTGCAGGTGGGAGCAGGATATGGGAGGGGAGAGACACAGGTAACTTCCCACGGTGATGGTGGTGGGACTTGGGGCACAAGACACACTTGGCTAAACTCAGAAAGTGGTGGCCTTTTAAGAGCTACGAGTTTCACTGTTATTAAAAACAAACAAACAAACAAACAAACGACATGAGGGCTGAGGAGCTGGCTCAGGATTGTTCAGTGTGTGCTGAACAAGCGTGAGGACCTGAGTTCGAATCCTCAGCATTGCAGGGACACACACAAGGGTCAGGGACATATACCGGATGTGGCGATGAGTGTCTGTAGCCCCAATATCTCAGGGACACACACAGGCGAATCTCCAGGGCTACATGGGGAACTCCAGGTCCAGTGAGAAACCCTATCTCAAAAAACACAACAAAACAAAACAAAACCACCACAGAAAACAACAGAGGCAGACAACAGATATGAACCTCTGGCCTCCACGTGTACATGCGCAGGCAAGTTCACCTGTACCAACACATGCACACAAACATCATATACAATAGTATGTCATACCCCGGAAGGAAGTGTGTTAATACTCACACTTTAATTTGAGAAGTTTATTTAAAAGTGTTGATTTAATGGATAGGTGGATGCAGGGTAATGTTAAGGTGCATTTGGAGGTGGGTGAGTTCATTGTATAATTTTTTCATATACCAAGGTTTCCTAATAACAAACTGGGGGAATGGGCCATTGCATTATTTGAAATATATAATATTGTTAAAAAACCTAGCCGGGGGGCTAGAGAGATGGCTCCGCAGTATAGAGTACTCGTTGCTCTTGCAGAGGCCCTGGGTTCAATTCCTAGCAACCACATGGTTACACACAACCATCTATAATTCCATTTCAAATGAATCCAGTACCCTCTTCTGACCTCCACAGTCACCAGGGACCCATGTAGGACACATACATACAGGCAAGCGAAACATTCATATATACAAAATAAAATCAATCTAAAAAAGACAAAGCTAAGAAAACAAAACAAAATAGCAAGCAGGAGAGCTCTGTCCACACCTGGACAGACCGCCTACCTTCTGTGTATGAGGGGTAGCTCTAGCCTATGTTCCCACTGTACTCTGAGAACCCAGAGTTCAAGGGCCAATCACCTAACTCCTCACTGCTCCGTGCTCCCCTACATCAAAGATGCCAGGACAGATGGGGAGGTCTGTCCTGAATCTCCTGGGATGCCTTGCTTGAAGAAATAACGATTTCACCAGAGACAGCCCCTACAGTCAGCTATATCCCACTCTCTGCCAAAGGGTAAACTGAGGCTGGTCTATGGGGCCTTTCCCAGGGGCCGTTTACATCTCCAGTACTGGAATGGATCACCAAATTGCATTCTCCCAAGCTGTCATGTCAGCTGGATGGGGAGGAACAGAAAGGAGGTCTCATCTCTGCCTAATTAGGCAGCCGGCAGCTGGGGCCAGGCTGGCTGGGAGCCCCAGCAGCCAGGGCAGCAGCTGCGGGGCCTCTGCAGGGCTGAACAGCAGCAGCACTTGGGTTTAGACTCCTGATTCTCACACTACAATGGAGGCAGAACAATGGAGGAGCTGCTACCCCAGATCCTCAGGCTGCCGGGAAGAGGGGCCCCTTAGAGCCTGCTGCTCCCACAGATTCTCAAAAGACTGGGGGCTTCTCCCAAAATCAGGCAGCGCCTGTGGGAGAAATCAAGCCTGGTCCAGCCCCATCGCCACGTCCAGTAATACTTTCCAGAACTGAGGTTCCTGGACACACCTGCTTTAGAGTCTACCAGATTTCCCGTCCTCTCTACACACTGTCAAGGGGATCGTGTCTGATATAGGTACCCAGGAGATGCTCAGCCATAAGACTGATGAGGAAGAGAGCTTGGGCATATGCCAAGGGAGGAGGGCGAGGGTGATGCTAGCTGCGGAGTGTCTGGAAGAACAGACTGTGGCCCAGGCTGTCTTGCAGTCCTGCCCCGTGATGGCTCATGAGTCTCCACCACTTCATGTTCCACCTTCTGCCCTCAGACCACACACCTGCCTCTCCAAGCATCACCTTGAGTACCAATGAGAGGTGTGGCCAGCACTAACCCCTCCTCCAGGAACAGGGTTCACCCACTGTTCCTGGAATCAGAACCCTAATGTCTCTAATTTTTTTTTTCTTTTTGCCTTGGTTGTCCTGTAACTCCCTCTGTAGACCAGGCTGGCCTCAAACTCACAGAGATCCACCTGCCTCTGCCTCCCAAGTGCTGGAATTAAAGGTGTGTGTCACCACCACTCAGCCAGAACCCTAATTTCTTCACAGGTACAGCCAGCTCATGTATCCTCCTGGGTGACCAGGGCACTGAGGATTACAATCAGAAAGAGACCCTGACCCAAGGCCAACAGGGTACCCAGAGAGGCAGGGTGGTCTTTAGCATCTTGAGGCATCACTATGCAAGGCTGGCCTGGATCTCTCCACAGTCCCTTTTTCAGCATGGGGACTATGAAAACCCAACGGTGGCAGGTGACTGCCCTCCTGTGCCTTTCTCAATCGGCATCCCCAGTGGGCAGAGCCTGTCCTCAGTTTCCCCTTCCTTCTTTAAACCACCCAGGACTTTGGGGGTTGGTGGCAAACAGGCAGCTGTGCTGACCCAGATGTTTGTCAATAGCCCAGCGGAAATCTCTCTATGCTTAAAATAAAACCAGCATCGAACCTGACACCATGCCTACCCTGATGCTTCCTGTTTCTGAAGACTGGAGCCAAGGCAGCCTGCAATGAGGAAACACCACCCAGTCAACCTCCCCGGGGAAGACAGTCAGGCCATCCCTCAGGTCACCCTTTATGCACCCAGGAGTGCCTGGGAGACTGGTCAGATGTGAGGCCATAGCTGCATAGCTCGCCACTCTGCAGGGCCCAGGCACTGGGATATAGCTCAGTTCAAAAGCCCCAGAATTTAAGGTCACAACCAAAGACCTGTACCACCGAGCTCTCTGCTGAGACCCAGAAGTAAGACTGGCCTGTCCAGGGTCACCCAGGGTCACCGGCAAGGCCACCACTCTGGGTTGTTCTTCCCCAAGTCCCTCTTCCTCCAAAACTCCCACCTCCGGCCCCTACGGAGTCCTGGTGACCTACAATCAGAGCTTTCTCTTGCTGAACCACCTTCCCTTGGGAACTCAGCAGGGCCGGCTGCTTTCAGGGTGAGTGGCTCCACGCCTCCTGTCAGTTTTTTTCCTTGTGCTTTCCTTTTGGTGGGGTAAAGAACCCACTCTCGGCTCTGATCCTACTCACTGGCTGGCCATCTCCTCACCTGTGGAGGATCCCGCAGGTGAGTCTCAGGTGAGGCCTGCCTGCACTGACACAGGTGAGTCACTGACCTCCTGAATATCAGAGGTCAACAGTCATTCCATTTTGAAGGCCCTATCCCAAGCCTTCTCCCACTCCTCCCGCTGTGAACAGAGAAGAGTCTGAAGCACCAGACTTTGAGAAACAGACATTTGTGTTTATTAACCAAAGAGAAGTCTGAGCAGCAGCTCCTAGCCAGGGCCTCCTTTGGTAGTTTACCCACCCAGACCACCTCCTAAGACCAGGAAGAGCAGTAGACAGATCCCATTCTCTCAACCTCCTCCCCAGAGCGAGTTCCCCGGAAGCCAGGGCCCATTTGGTAAGGAAAAGGAAGTCAGCAAAGGAGGACAGAGAAGGAAGGAGGAAACGGCCCCTCGGGGCAGACAGGCTTGGCAAAGTACTTGGTTCCCAACTCAGTGGAGGGGAAGCAGCCCAAATCCAGCCTTACCAGAGGAACCAGGCAGAAGCACACTGTGTCACAAACCTTGTTTAGGGGTTGGGGAGGCCAAGGGCAGCAGCAAGCCTCTGTAGGTCAGTCCTTGCTTGCCAGAGGATGCTGGTCTAGGACTAAGTCTTGGCCTCTACACCTAGTTCAACCAAGGGAGCTGCCTCTGGTCTGCCAGAAGGCAGCCAATGAACACAAGAAAGGACAAGGTGCCAACTGCCTCTTCACGATGTCCTTCCGGGAAGCCTGAGTCCAGGAGACCTAGCCCTCAGTAGCCGGAGGGTCACGTGCCTGCCGCAACCCATACAGCCACTTGATCACGCGGGCATTGCGCTCAATCACAGACACGCCGTAGGGGACACGCTCCAGGGACCGCTCCTCCACTGTAGCAGAGCTACGGCGTGAGCAGCCCCCTTCGGAGCTGCAAGGTCCAGCACTCGGGCCGGCTAGAGACACGATGTCCGAGCTAGCCCTTGCTAGGTGGGCCACCCCCAATCCTCGTGCTTCCTCGGGATCCAGGCCGCAGAAGTTAAAAAAGCGCTCGAGGTCGGCTGCTGCCCTGGAAAAGCGCTCGCTCAGGTCCGACTTGGAGCGTTGCAGGCCAGGTGGCCGGCCGGGGCTGGAGGTGGCAGTGGTGCCAGGCGATGGACAAGGACGAGCAGGTGACGCAGGTAGGGGACGAACATCCACTCGGCGCACAGCGACCGTACTAGGCGGTGGACGAGGAGGGGTGGCTGGTGGGACCTTGTGGGCAGATCCTTCTGCCCGTCCAGGCGTTCGGCTGGCTTCAGCTGGGGTCACAGGACTATCACACAGGTTGATGAGACTGCTAAGGATGTCGATGTCCAGTTGGGGCCGGCGGCCAGGACAGGGCAAGACTCGGCGGCTGGGTGTGAGCACTGGCCCCCGAGGACCAGGGCTGAAGAGGGGCTGTCGAGCCAGTGGGGGTTGCACAGGCTCCTGGCGGGTGTTGGCCACATGGAGGCTCTTGACATACTTGGCCTTGTCAGCCTCCAAGCGTTCCACGGCACTCAGCTTCCGGGCTCCCCCATCCGCTGGCCTTGGTAGCAGGTAGCTAGGGACCTTGGTTCGCAGGCGAAAAGGTAGCGCAGGAGCGGCGGGGGCTGCAGGGCTCAGCGTGTCCACGGGCATGGCGGTTACATACCCCGAGGGCAGAGGCGAGGCGACAGATACAGGCACAAAGTTGGCAGCTGGATGCCGGGCTCGGCTGCAAGCAAGAAAAGAAGACAGGCTGAGCACGTTCAGACAAAGACTCGGCTGGCTGAGAAGCCTGCACTATTATAAGGTAGAGGGCACGCCCCTGCCTCACGAAGAGCCAATCATCAGGCAGAATGTACTATTGGAAGGCCTGTGGCCCCACCCACACCCTTTCCCTCCAATACTGGGCGAGGACCAGCGCAGCTGCCAGAGAGAGGGAAGAGGCAGAGAAGGCAGGTCCACTTTAAAGAGAGCAAAGCAGGCTCCAGGCTCAGCCCCAGGGTCCTCTGAACAGACCCATTTATGGATGGGAAACTGAAGCTCAGGGAGGCAATGAACTTGCTTAAGCCTTCCCTTGCTCCCAAGATAGAGGATACTAGAGACAGGGTAGTTGGGGTTGCATGGCCACTATCCACATCCCACCTGAACTGCCCAGAGGAGCCAGATACCACCAACATCCCAGAACTAGCCCAGGCAGGAAGCTGTGCAGTGCCAACCACCTGCCTGGACCTGCCAGGCCCACAAAGGGCACAAAAGCAGAGGCTGCAGGGGAGGAACAGAAAGAAAGCCCACACCCCCACCCTCGCGGAGCCCAGACTAGAGTAGCTTCCAGGATATGGCTCCAAGGCCAAGACCACAGAGATCAAGGCACACAGACAGGAGTGTGCCCAAAGCTATCTGTTGCAGGGAACTGTCGAGGTCACAGCCCCACCTAGGGTTATGCTGCTGACCAACCACCATGACAGTGCTCATGGGCTGTAAGGCCCATGCCTGGGTGCTCAAGTGGCCCCATAGTTATCCGACAGTCAGATCATCACCAAGGAAACATAGTCAGAAAGTGCCACAGTTCTCCCCACCACCCCGGCCCCTCAGATATGCAGCAATGCAAAACCCATATCAAACCTTCTTATCCCTAAAGAGGAGAGGGAGGGGGCTGAGCCCGGGGGGGCTACCGACTCTGGCAATTCAGTCAGTCGACAACACTAGCTCCTGAACCATACCAGCCATGCTTTAAGTTCTCCATGGCTGCACTGAGATCGAGCATGTCCAAACACAGTAAAAGCATCACTGAGATATCCAGACATCCCAAGACAGGGACTCCCCACTGTGTGCCAGACACTCAAAGCCACGCACTCTTGAACCACCTCAAACAGCCCATAAGCCACTGTCACCATTTTGTAGCAGGGAAAACTGAAACTCTGAAACTGAGACTTCCCTAGATCCCAGAGAAGATTAAAAAGGCCATCTGAGCCCACTCCTGTCGCACTGCTTCTACACACACGCACACATACGCACACCCTGCTTCTCTTCTCATTATAGCCATGGGAGCCATAGAACTTACTGTGGATATGGTTCTTTCATTCCTTGCTGCCCCCCACTCCCTAAAATACTAGCTCCAGGAAGGCAGGGGTTTCGGCTGCTTTGTTCACCGGGTCTCAGCCTCATGATGTAGCTCTCAGTACATGCTAGATAATCCACAAGTGTGTCCTGAACTGAAATGCCTAGGAGGGTTAGCTGAGAACCAGCACACCAGTGAACTAGAGAAGCCCCGCCCACCGCGGACAGGTGAGTCCAAGGTAAGGAAGGGGTGTAATCCAGAGGGGCAGGTGCTCTCTAGGTTTGTAACTGTGAGCAAATTCCAGCATCATTTTTAAGACTGCATGCACTGGGCAAGCATAGCATATCTGCAGATATATCTGCACTTCCGTCAGCTTCCCCCAGCCCCCCATGGAAACCTCAGCACAGTGATGGAATGGGGGCTGGGAGTAGGGCTGCTCTCGAGACTCAGGGGCCTAACAGGCAGGAAAGGAAGGCTGGCCCCACTCAAGTAGACCCCCACGTGACCTTGGGCAGGAAAGGTCTGGCCATTAGAGCTGCTACAGAGCCCTGCCTAGGTAGCCAGACTCTGCCCCACCTCCTTAACCCCCACATCTGCTCTGCCACCCAAACCAGTCCAACCCGTTGGTGGTGGCTGAGGCAGTTCCCTCCCAAACTTCACCTGGGAAAGAGGAAGGAGGTCAGAGGGGCAGGGCCATGGCAGAAGCTCCCCCCACCATCACCACCTTGCTTCTATACCCACCACCTAACCCTATATTAAAATGGGGGCAGGAACAGATGCGTGTTCCCAAGTCTGGCCTGGTAACCATCCGGGTCCCCACTCTCCCACCAGCCCCTGCCTAGCACCTTGCACAAGCTCTTAACAGACTGTTCCCTTATCTGCTAAAGGCAGTTAAAAATAGACCTCCCTGTGCCTTCGGGTCACCGCTGGAAAGATCAAACGGGTTCGCAGCACCTGGAAAACGGCCAGCGCTCCATAAACCAGGCTCACTGTCAGATACTCAGGCTCTGATTACATGAGTGAGCAGGCCCGCCCCCTCCGAGGGTCTCTAAGCCCCAGCCAGAAGGGCGGATCTAGGCCCTAGCAGGGACAAAGGAGACATCTGGTAGGGGCTGATCACAATGAGACAGCAGACCGGCACCAACTCACGTCACAGGGGCCCCTCCAAGAGGAAGCCTGGGTCCGGGTCACCAAGTGGGATTAAACGTCTCCTCTGGGGACTTTTCTCACCATGGGCTTTCAAATCCTGCCGCAAATGGCCCTAAATGCAGCAATCTCGAGTCTTTCTGGTCACTATTCCAGGACTATAGTCAGACTTTGTCCCTCCCTTCAGGCTCCCAAAGAACGGATCAGGACGCCAGGAAGGCCCCAGTTTTGTTTTCGGCCCTTTCTCACTTAGAAGAAATCCTGGAGACTTAGGCGGCAAGCCTTGAGGTGAGCAGAGGCTGTGTTAACCCACCCCCCCCCCTCCCCATGATCTGTCCCTCTCTGAGCAGGAGAGTCCACGTCTGTCTCGAATGCGGGGACTGAAGGCACAATCCCTGCCGCGCTCCCCACTCCCCAGCACCGCAACATACCTGGCTGCGCAAGCCGCCTCCTGCCAGCAGCCTGCGCGCCTCCCGCCCACCTGGCTCAGGTAGCCGGTATTTGCGCAACTTCCGGGGCCTGGTAGGTGAACCCGCCGGCCCGGAGTGTTCGAGGAGTGGGAAGGAGGGCCAGGCAGTGATCGCAATGGGTGACTGGCAGCCTGGTACGGGAACCTGGCCGCAGCCGCGCCCCCAGGCTCGCCCAGCCGGGCTCTTATCCGAACTGGAGCCTGTACAGCCGGCAGCACATCAGGCAGAGTTGCACGGGATTCTAGTTGGCCTTCACTGCCGGGCACGGGAAAGTGTTCTTCCTGAACATTTAATCTTTCCGTGATTAAACGGGGCGCAGTGAGAATTAGTGTGGTCTGGGTAGCCTTCCTATGAGGCAACTCCATTGTCATCCAAGTTGACTAATGGAAACCCCAGACAGGCCAAGCTGAGTCACTTGCCAAAATCAACGGGGGAGTCCAACCTGGGTACTTTCCCTCCCACCACTCCTCAATACCACCCTTTCCCCTGTGTGCCAGCAGGTGGCTGGGCTTCAGTCCCATGAATGAGAAGAGTGGGACCCTAGGGGACAGCCTACTGCGAGTGCTCAAGGCTTGAGGTGCCGGCTACAGCTTTGTGCCAGTTTGAAGGATCAAGAGGGGCAACCACAGTGGAGTGGCGTAAGATGGCCCATTTAACCCCAAAACAGCAGGACCACCAGCAGGGGGACAACCTGAAACCCATAGTTCACAGAGGCCACTGCAACCCTGCTGGGAGGGAACCCTGGCGGGATCCACCTGTCCTCTCTGCCAGTCCAAGGTTCTGTCACTTTCCAGGGTATTGTGAGGTCCAGGGGAAGGAGACCCCAGCCCTGGCTAAACACTCCTCTACCCAGGAGGTGGGGCAGGAGGAGACAGGATATGGTTCCTGTCCACTTTCCTTCCTTCTGAGCATTAAAGGCCCCTCTAGTCCTGTATGTTACAGGACAGAGGACAAGTCACCCACCTTAGCCCGCCAGTTCACTGCCTGGGCCTGGCTGGGACAACAGAGGAACAGGCAGTCAGCAGCCCTCAGGCCCTGACAGCGGACACTACAAAGACAGAAGCACCTGTCAAGGAGAAACCTGCTCATTCCTGCATATTTCTTTAGCAGCAGACACTGTTTGAAGCTTTTTGTTGTCGTTGTCATTGGTGAAGGATGGGTGTTTGTTTTAAATGGATCTTGCTGTATAGTCCAGGTCAGTCTGGAACTCTCCATCTGCCTGCCTCAGCCACCCTTTTGGGCTTACATTTATGTACTGCCATGCCTAGCTCAGATTATATGTGAACTCATTCCATTCTTATTCATACCTGTGAGGCAGATACTGCTACTGTGCCCATTCTACAGATGAGATGACTAAGGCATAGAGAAGTGAAGCCACCTGCCCGAGATCACACAGTCAGCAAATGACAGAATCAGGATTTGAACCCAAGCTTGGATCTGGTAAGGAGAGAGACAAGAGACAGAATGTACTTCCTGGCAAATCCCATAAGACCACTCAGCCACCTTGCCTGGACCCCATAAGGATCCGCCACCTATGGAAATGTTTTTCCTAGCAGATCCACACTTCACTGCTGATGTGCTTGACCCTCATGCACTCCCGGGGATAAATTCAGCCTCCGACATGGCCCTCTGGTCTTTGCCCAACTTTACCAGCTCATCCAAACTGTCGTTCCTGGACCAGTCACAGAACACTCCTGGCTAGTCCTTACAAAGGTCTTTCCTACCCCAGGGCCCTTGCACCAGCTGCTCTCGGTCTCAAACCTCTCCCCTCACTGTCTCTGAGAGCCCTCCCTCTTGGGCCTCCTGTTCCCCTTAAGGCACCTTTGCTGATCTTGCCATTCCTGGCGTTCACGTCTTTGTCATTGATTTCCTAGCCGCCCACTGGACTGAGCACCGTGGCTCTGCTGTGTCCTCCTCCCAGGAACAAGCAAGAAGAAATGTCGCTGTCCAAGAGGCTGAAAAAGGCCCAGGCCAGCATCAAGATAAACACATCAAACACATACAGCTTTCTGTATATCAATCACACTCCAATTCCCAAAGGAAGGAAAGAGGGAGAGGGGAGGGGGAAACAAGGAGGAAGGGAGGAACACAGTAAGGAAGGAGCTTGGAAATGCCCGCATCCCTAGCACAAACTCCCTTGCAGGAGCATTTGACAAGTTCTTGGTGATCAGCTGACACACTGATCATTCCCCCTTGTACTTAATAATTAGCTGTGGGGGGGAGGAGGTGGCAACCGGGATCTCTGAGTGCCAAGTCTCCCCTCGGCCACCACGTTACTGCTGCCGGCATCCCTTCGCCCTATTCAAGCTTGGTCACTTCCAGCCAAGCCTTGTTCTTCCTCCAAACACACAGAGTCAAAATCTTCAGGGCTCTGACTCACCCACCCATACCTCCGCTGCGGGTGATCCTCTCCATACCTCAGTTTCCCCTACTATACAACAGGCCCAAGGCACGACGCTGCCATCAAAGAGAAAACCGTGATGACAGCAGATCTTCCAAGGCCCAGCTCCGGAGGAGGCATCCACCATTACGCTGCAAGGTTAAGAGCAGCAGCGTGGTGACGGCTAAAACTTCAGTCACTTGAAGCAGCACCTGAAACAGCACCTTCCACAAAGAAGGAAATGAAGCTGGGCATGGTGACACATACCTTAATCTCAGCACTGAGATTAATGAGGCTGAGGCAGGAGGGTCATGGGTTCGAAACTAGCCTGGCCCCCTCCACATACATACATATGCAAAAGCTATCTAAAGAGCCAATGAATGTAAAGAAATAAGTTCCACATCTCTAGACCATTAAAGATATGCCGATCGAAATCACAGTAGCACACAATGTCACACCCATTAGCATAGGTCCTATCCAAAACATACATTAAGATATTTAGTGTTGGGAAGGAGATGTGTGATGTAGGAGGGTCATCTGTCTATATGTTACTTTCATTGGTTAATAAACTGCCTTGGCTTTTGATAGGACAGCAGCTTAGATAGGCGGGGTAAGACAGAGCAGGATGCTGGGAAAAAGAAGCGGGGTCAGAGAGAGCCGCCCGCTCTCTCTGAAGCTGCCAGATCAGACATGCTGAATCTTTCCCAGTAAGCCACGACCTCGTGGTGAGATACAGATTATTAGAAATGGGTTGAATCAATATGTGAGAGTTAGCCAATAAGAGGCTGGAGGTAATGGGCCAAGCAATGTTTAAAAGAATACAGTTTCCGTGTAATTATTTTGGGTGTAAACTAGCCGGGAGCCGGGTGGCGGGACGCAGTCTGCTGCTCCATTTGCAACAGGTGTGGCTTTAGGACCCTCTGCACAGCGGATAGTGAAAACCACAACATGAGAATTCTGTGTGGGTTGAGTAGTGAATGACCAGAGCAGCACTTAGAAATCGCTGAACACTCATCGTCAGGGACCCAGAGTGTGCATGCCAGCAAAGATCCTCCCACTAAACCCGCAGCAGCATTAGTGACCACAGCCAAAGTGTAGGCACAGTCCAAGTTCCCACCAGTGACTGAATGGGAAAGGAAACATAAAACACACGCTGAACAGACAATTCAGCCTTTAGGAGGGAAAGGGGACTGAGGCACACTACATGACTAAAATTTGAAGACATCAGGCTAAGTGCAGTAAGCTGAACACGGCGACAGATAGTGCGTGCTTCTATGTAGATGTGTCCTCTGACTTCCGCGTGCCTGCTGTAGAATATGTGTTTGTGAGATAAAAGCAGTAAGCCCCTCACTTCATAGAGTAGGGGAAATCATAGCTCAGACTGGTTTAGTACTGAGTACATGGCAAGCGGCCTGAGCCCAAGCAGCTGTGTCCACTCTTCCTTTTGTATCCTTTCTTCCCAGTAGAAGGTAGATTTCTAGGGTTGATGGTTTCTATAACATTCTTCACCGCCCCATCTGCTGCTCCGTCCTTTCAAAGGAAACCTGGCTCAGGCTTGGTAGACAGAGGAGGATCAAGAAGGCTCCAGGCAGTGGGGAAGAGCCAGCCCAGCTGTCCAGGTCAGAGACACCCGACTGGGCATTCTCCAGGGCAGGCCAGGTTCCAAGCTATTTCTGGAGTTTTCCCCAACATCATGCCCTGGCCTGCCCGGGAGTCAGCCTTGCTCAGAGTAGCTTTGCACGAACCTGCGGGAGGGAGTTAGGAGTGGGCCACCACGGGAGGGCGTGGGTGTGAAGGCCTAGGGCAGTGAGCATCTATATAGAACTCCCCTCCCTCATATATGCTCCTCCACCAATTCAAACTTTGGGGACTCAGCTTGCACCCTGACAAAGTGGGAGCAGAGGCAGATTTACGGGAGCGGGGCGGGGGGGGGGGGGGGGATGAGGCTTGAGTTAGACCTGTGGTCACACCCACTTCCTGCCCTACAGTACCCTGTCGAGCCCTGAGCTCACATGCAGTGTTTTATCCCAGCTCAGAATGTGAAGAAACTTGCCCAAAGTCACACAACCAGTGACAAATCACAGGCAGAGCCGTGACCTCATAACTTTCTGTAGATGTCATCAGTATGTCTACTTAGTGGCTTCTCAACTCGCTGACAGGCAGTCGAAGCTTGGGACGGCAAAACGTGCCATGGTACGCTTGCCATTTTCACTCCGCTCCTTTGCTCAGTAGCCCACGTTTCTCTTGGTGCCCATCAGTGCCTAAGGAGTTTCTGATTATTTCCCATCAGGCCCTACTGATGTCCGCTGCACATTTGTCTGGTCCCTGCTTGCTACAATTCATGCTGCATTGCAGCACCTGTCATTTTTGCCTAAAAATTAGGTAACTGGATGGGGGGGCGTAGGAGGAACTCTAACAGTGATGCCTATGTTTGCCAGAGTCAGCCAGAGCTGACACCACCCTACCCCGCTCCACCCCCAGGACAACACACAGCAAATGGCCAACAGATGTTGGCTTTGATCATCTTGGTTCTGGAAGCTTCGGGCACCCTGACATTTTGTGCCTGTGTTAAGCATCTCACTCGCCTGACACATTCCTGTGAGGAAGATAATAAACCACCTAATAAGATACCTAGTGCACAATATGGACCGGACACTACTGAGAAAAACGAGGCACACAGGGAGAGCAGGCCACAGAAAGCCGGACAATGCGGAAAGAACACATGAGGCAGGGGCTGAACGCCCCAGGGGGTGGAAGCTCAGTCAGTGGAGTGCTTGCTTAGCACGCACCAAGCCTGAGGTTCCATCCTAAAAAATGGCATAAAACTAGCATGGTGGCGACACATGTCTGTCATCAGAGAAGACATATCCAGGGCGATGGCGAGTTCAAGACCAGTCTAGTATACAGAGTAAGACTGAGCCAGCTTGGCCCACGCGAGACCCTGAGGGTAAGGGGGGACGCCACAAGGACATACAGACAGGCAAACACAGACTCCCCCAGAGCCAGAATGAGGACTAGAGGAGAAGCAGTTCCCCTCAGAAGACAGCCTCCATCAAATCTGCCTCTTCCCTGTGTCAAGGACGGGAAGAGTCCTGAAGAGTTAAGTCTGTGACTTTGAACAATGGGCTCAACTTCTCAGCACCTCAGTCTCCCCACCTATGAAGAGACCAACAACAGCAACCTGAGCAAGAAGCACAGTCCAGCCTAAATCGGACGCTTAACTTGGGAGGGCCTGACCCGAGCACACGGCTCTAAAGTTCAGTGACTGGCAACGCTGGCTTAGAGGCTGACCCACCCACCCCCAACGCGCGCGCGCGCGCGCACACACACACACACACACACACACACACACACACACACGGAGTGCACAGCTCTCACAGGAGCAGACTTCCGAGAGGCCCACGTGACTTCCAGGCCCTTTGGCTCTGCTGTCCTGCTAGCCTGCCCCCAGGGAGGCTCTCTCAGAGAGCAGCCCTGGGATTCCGGACCATTCAGGCAGAAAAGTTGTCAAAGAGTCCCTGAGGAAGGGAAGGCCATATGGCCTGGAGGGGGAACTCCAGGGACAGGTGGGGCGGAGATAACCCAGCATTGGGATCCCCTGAGCCATGTCCTCCCGAGCCAGGAGAGTGACCAACAGGGACCCTCTGAACGTCTCACGGCAATCTGCCTGAGGTGGAGGCTGCAGGGTGGGTCAGGGAACAGCCTGGATCCTTTGTGGGCCGCCTGGGCTGGACACTAGACCCGGACCCTCTGTCAGTCCTCTGTGCTGGAACGCTTGCCTGGGACGGTGTGTGGACGCTGCTGCCTCCGGACCCTGTGTCCCGCCTCACTCCCATGCCTACCTGCACCCTGTGTCTGGAGATCGCCCGCTTCTCGCGGGCTGCCGAGGCTGACAGCTGGAGCCCTTGGTCCCAGCAGCTCTGAGGCGGCCGTCGCGTGTTGAGACTGACGGGCGCTCGGGAGAGGGAGGCCCTGGCTGTCCCACGGTCCTGCTGGGCGAAGGTCCCCAGAGCCCGGAGGAAAGGGAAGTGAGCGAGCCATCCCCGTCGCCGCAATGGTTCGCCCCGGACTTCCTGATTGGCCCATCGCTTCCGTTCGAACGGCGCGCCACCGGAGTTGCCAAGCAACCTCAGGAGCGGCAGATGGAAGGGGGGCGGGCCCACGGTGGCTGCCCGGAGTCCAGCTGGCCGCTCGTCCTTCCGGCAGCCCCGGCCCCTGGCAGCCAATGCGTTCCCTTTCTTCTCCTCCTCTTCCAGCTGGGATTTCCTCGGTCCCCAGCTACAAGAGTTGCTAGTCTCAGATTTGTTTGGTTTGGTTTTGCACAGGCTCTAGTCCCAACTTTTTTTTTTTCACTAAGCTGCCCAGGCTGACCTTAAATTCACGCTGAAGTCTAAGGAGCCCTCAAACTTGTTATCCTACTGCCTCAGCTTACCGATGAGTTGATATTACTTGCCAAGCCACCAAACTGGGCCCCACTCCCAGCTCAACAACTACCTCACTGTATGATTTCCCACGAGCCCCTGTCTCTCTCTGTTCCCCTACTGCAATGCTAATTCAGTTAGTTTTCTGCATACTAGTAGTTCCCACAACGCTTATCAAAATCAGTTCAATTATAGTACCTAATATCCATCCTGGGAAGAAGCTAAGTTGAGCCTTCTGCATAATTCTTGTCAGTATTACCTACCTTCAGTGTACCACTCTCTGGTTAGGAATATTATGCAGTAACTTAAAATGACATCATTAAAAAACATTTAAAAATAATGGAGGAATGCTAAGAAAGTGTTGTAGAGTTTTTTAAATTTATTTTTTTTAATTTATGTGCACTGGTGTTCTGCTTGCATGTATGTCTATATGGTGGTGTTGGGATCCCCTGGAACTGGAGTTACAAACAGTTGTGAGCTGCAGTGTAGGTGCTGGGAATTGAACTTAAGGCCTCTGGAAGAGCAGTCAGTGCTCTTGACCACTGAGCCATGTCTCCAGCCCCATAGTATTGTGTTTTAAACATAGGTTTCAAAGCACTCCTTATAGCACAAATAGATAATAAACACATAACCATACTATTCATATAATAAACATATCCTATTTACAGTAACAGCAGCTAATTTCTTTCACACTTAAATATAATGCTTTTATCCATTCTTTGAGAATGTCATCCATATACACATGATGTATTTTGATCATATTTACTCCACTCTCCTCCCCCTAATTCCTCCAACATCCATCCTCACTCTCCCCTTCTTTTTCTTTGGTTTTTTTTGTAACCCACCACGTCCAATCTGCTGCCCATCTATTCATGGGTGGAGAGCTATACACTGGACCATAATCAAACTGCCAAGGGCTGTGCCCTTTTAAAAAAACAACTGATTTCCCTTCCCCAGAAGTCATCAACTGTCCAAAGCGCCTCAGCTAGGGCTGCGAGCTTATCAGCCCCTCCCTGCTCTGTTCTGAAATTAACTGATTTGATCTTGTGCAGCCTCTGTGAGTTGCAAAGCGCAGTGGTCCTGTAGTGTCCAGAAGAATCCTTTCCGACCTCCAGCTCTCACCGTCTTACTGCCCCCTCTTTCCTGATCTGATACAGATTTCACGTCTGTGGTTGAACACACCACAGACACCTATGCTCCGCCCTTTAACCAGCTGTGAATCTCTGCTGCCATTCGCTACACAAAGAAGCTTCTCTGACGAGGTCTGACAGCTGCGCTAATTTTACGGATATAGAGATACGAATTTAGAGGGCAGTTTGATATTGTGTTCATTTAGCAAAATAATAGCAGTAGGCTCGCCCTGGAGCTGGAGTGCTCACTGGCCACAGGTTCTTGGTCCAATTTGCCATACCAGGCATACATATGCTCCTGGGGAACACGCCCTGAATCCAACCAGAAAGCTGTTGGCTGGTCCACAACATTTGTGCCACTACAGTACCCATGCCAAGCCGGTCGGTCACTACTGTAGCTCAGAGGATTCATATCTGGGTCAGACTACTGATGTCTTTTCTCTCCCAGCAGCCCATACTGCATCTTCTGGTGCTATGAAAGCTAGCCTACAGGAAGGACGCATCTTAGTAGTACTTAATTTCTTATTCATGCTTTTGTGAATTTTGCAGATTTCTAACTCTTGAACTATCAGAGGTGTAGCATAATTAATAAAGACCCAGAGACAGATATTGGGGTTCAACGTGAATCAGAAGAGCAGAACAGCCTGCCACTGGCTCTTACCTCCATCTTAGTCTGAAATGGCGATCCTGCCTCCAGGCATCTCAGATGAGACTGAGACTGAGAGCTGTCTCCTCCCATTTTATAATCCTCTCTAGGACTGGGATTAAAGGCATGCAATACTACCTGGTGTGTAAGGCTGATCAGTGCGGCTGTTTGACTCTCTGAATTTCAGGCAAGCTTTATTTATTTATTAAAATGCAAATGAAATATCACTACACTGAGGAAATTTTCTAAACTTCTGTTTGTGCGTGTGGTGTATTCATACATGTGTATTTAGTGCACACACACGTGTGTGTACACAGAGACCAGAAGAGGAATTTGGGTTTCCTGCCCTACCTCTCTCTCTCTCTCTTTCTCTGAAACACAGTCTTTCTATGTAGTCCTGACTGTCCTGGAGCTCGCTATGTAGACCAGACTAGCCTCAAACTCAAAGTTAGCTCTAAACTCCAACCTCTGCCTCTTGCCTAATTCTCTTTTAATTTTAGTTAATGTTCTACATTTGTTTACGTGCGCGAGTGCACCCGTGCATGGAGAGCAGAAGAAACTAGTGAAAGTCAGTTCTCTTCCACCTTGTAGGCTCCAGGGCTCGAAGTCTGGTTATCAAGCTCCGAGCTCAGTCTGGTCCTCTCACTGGCATCTCCATCTTGCTCTATGGAGACAAGACTTCTTATTGAACCTGGGACTCAGCTGCCGGCCAGCAAGGGCCTTTGAGTCTCCTGTCTCTGCCCTGCCACAGCCTAGGGACACAGGTATCTAGTCCCATGTGGCTTATGTGAGCTCTGGTGATTTGAAATCAGCTATTCATGGTCGCACAGTAAGTACCCTTGTCTGCTGAGGGACCGCCCCAGCTCAAGAACAATTTCTTTAAGGTGCTGGAATAACTTAGCTTGAGTTGACTGTAGTTCCCCCGCTAGTGTTTACGTCTGCGTGGCTCTATTTGCCGCTGGCCTCGGCTCCATCCCAGCTGTTGTCATTGAGTCACTGACAGAGCACTTGCCATGAAGAGGCCCAGGACAGGCAGAGGAAGAGTTAACAACACATCAAGCAATTCAGAAGAGACTTCTGTCAGCATGGCACAGGGGAGTCTACAGCTACATTAACACTCAACAGGCCAGTTTCATCTGGTCTTGGAAGCTAACCAAGGTCAGGCCTGGTTAATACTCAGATGAGAGAAAGGTCAGGGGATGCCGTGTGGTACAAAGATGGATCTGGAGCTTTAAACTTCTTATGGGAATGTGAACAAACTGCACTGTCTCTTTCACCTAAGGTAAAATTAGACAAAACTCCATTTTAAAAAGTGTAAAGAAGCCACTTGACAGAAATTCAAATTCCTCCAAAGTCAGCACTTCTTGAAGTCAAAATAGATGTTCAAGTTTCATTTCTGTCTAGAAACTGTGCTGTTCTATATGAGTAAATCACAAAAGGACATGCGGCCAAGCTCTGACCACTGAGAGAGGCACAAAACCCCTCTTTGTTAGCAATAAAAGCCCAGGGGAGCCACAGTGGATGGGAGGCCACAGCACCTCTGCACCATTCCCCAGGGGAGCCACAGTGGATGGGAAGCCACGGCACCTCTGCACTATTCCCCTGGGGAGGCACAGTGGATGGGAGGCCCACGGCATCTCTGCACCATTGCCCAGAAGTAAAACTCTCTGCCTTGCTGAATCCCTTGGATTGGGTGCTCATTTTCTTGAGATCCCAGATCCATTTCTTGCAACATGGATCCCAGCATGAGGGCTCTCTCTCTCCACAGCCAAGAGTCTTGCAGACTGACTCCCATACTGGGAACCACATCCTGCTGCGTCTTTGCAGTGGCACTGGGTGTAGAGACACTCTCTGGCTCCAAAACTAACAAAAACCTAAAAATCAAAAGTAGATCAGCAGTTTGGCAATAAGCAAACCAGGCGACTTCATGTACGTACCAAGGCAGGAAGCTTGGACTGTAAAGTACCACCTTGGTGGTTGGAGGTTTGGATGGCAAGAATGTGGCTAGGGTGATAGTCAGACAGTCCTAGGTCACAACGAGAATAGGAACACTCCAGTGCAGGGGTGCTGACTAAGTCTATGCAGAACCAGAGTAGTGAGAGATGAGAATTCTCCCTGACATCCCCCATAGCCCATTAGGGTCAATGTTGAGGTTCTGGGAATACAACTCCAGAAACAAGGGGAAAGAGAAAAGATCTGGGGCCAATATGAATAAGATTTCTGGAGCTGAAGAGATGGCTACGTGGGTACAAGCACTACCTGCTCTTCTAGAGGGACCCAGGTTCAATTGCCAGAAGCCACCCAGATGCTCAGACTGTGTAACTCCAGCTCCAGGAGATCTGATATCTTCTTCGGACCTCACAGTATACAGACATACATGCAAGCAAAGCACCCATATATTTTTTACTTATTTATTGTTTGTTTGTTTACAAGGGATTGTTTTTTGAGACGGGGTTTCTCTGAGTAGCCTTGGCTATCCTTGGAACTAGCTCTGTAGACTAGGCAGACCTCAAATTCACAGAGATCCACCTAACTCTGCCTCCTGAATCCTGGGATTAAAGGTGTACACCACTGCTGTCCAGCAACACATATACATTTTTTTAAAAGAATAAGATTCTCCCAAACAGTCCTCTGAGGCACAAGATCCAGTAGTGGGGAGATAGTCCCTGCACAAAGTGAAGCTGAGAACTCTGATAGACAACCATATGGGATGACTGATCAACTGGACCAATTCTTTGTGCCCTCACTCTATACCCAGCCTGAGTTGATTTTAGTATTGAGTGTTCTCTTCTCTAGTGAAAAGAGGGATGAGAAGAAGGGCCTCTTGAGAAATAAACATCACCCCACACAGATGCCATTGCGGCAGCTGAAAAACTCCCCAACCA